AACATAAATAATGAAGTTGTGGAATGTTGCAGCTACTTTGGCTTTAGAAGATGCCTTTTTAAACCTTATCAAATCTATAAACCAAATATAAGCAACCAAAAGAAAATAAAGATAATAGCTAAATAAAAAATATAAAAGAAATGTTCCTATAATACTATGAATTACCATTAAAAATAAATCAAATTCTGTTTTGAAAAGGAGCAAAGATAAATGTAATTGTAATTTTTAAATCTTCATTTATTCCACCACAACTCTATGGTGCAATTTTAGATGATTCTATCTTCTATTACTTATCATTGTATTAATAAGGAATCTCAAGGATTTGAAATTTGAAACTAAGTCCCAATATCAACTTCAATAAAAATCAAACGTATGCATATTGATATAAATCTGTAAAAATGATTTAAATGAAGAAACATTGAAATAAAAAAATCATTACAATTAAAACATCTAGAAGAGATCCTACAGCTATTGAAGATTTGAAAAAAAATGCTTACTACTCTCTTTTTATACAATATGCTCCAAAATCTATATAACAAAAAGAAATCTATAACATCGATAAAATTCATTGAGAGAAATAGAAAGAATAAGAGAAAGGTATGGCACCACTATGGCCATGGAAGTAGACACCCACTTAGTACACTATTTCAACAAGCTCTCGCTTTGCACACCTTTTTCTAGCCGAGTCCATTTATACCATTATCAAATTCTTGTGGCTTCACTAGTTCTATATACACAATTGCTAACTGTAGCTTGCAAATTGTCTTCTTATTATTATATCTAGCTATTCTGCAATATATATACATACATATAAACCATTACCACTCTCTTTGTCACATTATTTTGAAAAGCACAATTCTAATCAATGATCACAATTCCTTAGGTTGAATCTATATAAGTTTATTTGTTGAATCCATTTTGAGGCATTAAAAATTCTAGAAATAAAGTGAAAATGAATAAAGAGAGTCTTTAATATTTTAAGAATATCTCTCTAAAAATTGGTGGAAGTGTTAAATATATAGATTTTTATTTTTGATAGTTGAAAGATTGAGTTGATTTTTTTTTTCTTTACTTTTGACAAAAATGATGAGACATACAACCAATCACAAAAGATTTTTATCTCTTCTTTTTTTTCTCCTAAGCTATCTTATATAATAGATTATTATTATTATTATTATTATTATTATTATCATTATTTATTATACTTTTAGTAATTTTCATTAGAAGCAAGTTAAAACGTGATGCATAAACTATAAGCCTTATAGTCTTTAGAAAGCTTCTATGAGATCTTTTAGCTTGCTAATAAATATAAAAGAAAAGAAAAAATGAGGCCATTTTTAGTCTTTTCAATATCTTTTTTATATTCTAATTTTGATTTAAGATTAAAATATTTCTTTATAATTAAAAATAATAATTTTAATTTATTATTTTTTAAAAATTATTTATTATTTATTTATATTCTCTCTTTTAAAGATACAAGAATATATAATATTTTTAGAATTCTATCCTCATTTATGTTCTTGACAAGTTTCTCATTCGACATATAAGATAATCTTTCATATTATTAAAATTTTAAATTTTAAAAATATAATTTTTATAAAATTACATTTAAATTTTTTTAATGGTTTTAATAGTTTTTCTTATAAGGCTATAACAACACTTCTTCTTGCTTAGTAATATCATTAATATAAATATATAAAATAAATTAAAAAAATATTAATTGAATATAATTTTAAAAAATTTTTACACATCAATCTACCAATAATCTTAATTTTTTTGATTGTGATCTTAATATTCCTTATTTTCATGTAATTTTATTTATTTATTTATTTATTTTTTAAACTCATATCATGTATCAAAGATATAAAAATATGTCAATCTTAAGCTAAAAGTTTTTAGACTTAAAAAAAATAGTACAATAATATTATCATGTATTATTGACTATTGATATAGATGCATATATTAATGGTTACTAAGAAAATAAAATATTTCTTTAATCTTTAAATATTTATTGAATTTATTTTCATAAATTTTATAATAAAAAAGCATTAAGATTAAAGTCTAAATTTATTTCTTGTGTTTTTAGCTTTAATGTTTATATTTAAACAATAAAGTATTTTTTTTAAGATCAAGATATTATAACAAAGGTTACATAGATTTCATTTTGCTAATCATCAATATCCATCATTATAAATATTAGAATTAAGAAATAATTTTTTTTATACAGAAGTAATAAAACTATGATTGCACTAGAATAAATGATTTATAATTAAGTTTTTAATGTAATAAAATCTTTGTTGTCATTGATAGCAAATATTACATTTGTGACAACAAAATTATAGTTTTTATGTTAAAATATCAATTTAAATATGAATGGTATTTAAATACTAACAATAAATAAATATTTTAATATTATGAGTCTTTCTAAAGCTTTGTATTGAAATATGTGTAGTAAAATATAAGCTCTAAATTTTCTTGTGTATGCATTCTAATGATCATGATATTATTTATTTTTTATATATGTTGTAAGTATCTTTTTTAAAAAATAGAATGTTTTATAAATAGATCTTATATATATTCTTAAGATGTACTTGTCCAATACAATTTCTTTAAAAAATCTCTAATTTTTAAAGATATTGGATTAAAGAATCTAGCCTTAGAATTCATTCAATTTTCATTTTAGACAATAACTTCTTTGTAATCAACACATTTAGTAGTTGTTTATGATATTTTAATAACAATACATAAAACATAGAAGTTTTTCTTACTAAAGTAGCAAATTCAATCCACTTTAATAAATTTTCTTTTATTTTTTTATAGTTTATTTATTCTTCATGTCTTTATTTAAGGTAATAAGTTTCTTTTTATTATTATATTTAAAAAATACTATATTAATAATAATAATAAAAAACTTATATAAATCATTGTATTATATTGGTACTTTTATTTAAAATATTCATGTTAGATATGTTATATCCAATGTAAATATATTCAAAAATTAATTTGAATTAATACAAAAAATATTACAAATTACTTGTCATAATATATTATTAATTTCCATTATTAGATTTGGATAGAGCTTATATTTCTTACCTAACTCATTGTAGAAACAAAATTTTTTCTATTATTATTTCTTACATATCAATCTTCTTCAATAAAATCACCATACTATATTTTAAAGAATATATGCTATTTGCTTGCTATTCTTTATACTCAACGTTTTTCTAAGATTTTTTAAATCTATAATATCCATTTATTAAATCTTTGTATTGTTTTTGTTTTTGTTTTGTTTTTTTTTGTTTTTTTTTTTTTTTTCTAATGTAGGTCCTAAAATGTAAAAACTCTATGATGTGGCATTTACATTCATATGTTAAAAAAATATATTCCATGATAACTAAAATATCCCAAGTGATCAAATTACATCCTTTGGACACTCTACATATAAGACATTGATAAGATTCCATTATTATATCTTTGCAAACCTCCTTAAAAGCAAAGACACCACAACTGACCACATTGCTATTTTTTTTGCAATTGCTATGTTTACTCAAACAATATCTACTAAGATATTTTATGAGTTAGCAATTTGATCCTACATATACATTTATCTCCTTCTCTTTCTCTCTCTACATTTTTTTCATCTCTACATCCATAATTCAACTTCTACACTTTATTGGAATAGATGAATCTTTGTAATAAAGATTGTTTAATAACAATCAATTTATTTCCAACTTTTCTACAATAAATAAAAATATTTTCTTATTAGGATATATATTTGTATAGATTCATATAGACAATTGAACATATAAATTTGGAATTACAATTATTTATTATATGCCATTGTGTTACCAAATGAAGTACATATATCATCAGAAACTAATTATTGTTTATTTAGCTATTATCAAGTTTGTTTGTAAGGACATTTTAATTAATTACTTTAAATATCCAATTAAAAAGATGTAAAGTTTGAAAAAAAGGAGTAGAAGTCCAATCCAATTTTTGTAAGATATAAAAGGCAACTTGGTTTATAACAACTGGGTTTATAACAACGTTTTCTTTTCGAAAATATACACAAGAGGCAAGGAAACACTCAACTTGCAACAAACACAACAATCATTCCCTCATCTATATAAAACAAAATCGAGAACGTAGACAAAAAAGAATTTGGACGTGTAAATAAGAGATGATGATTAAGGTGGATTTTTTTACTACCTTGTAACACACCATTTGGACAATTGAAGGCATAGTGTTTATCACACCAAACAGCAAACAATGCAGTGAAGAATGCATCTGTTGTAATGGACTTCTCTTTTTCCCTTTCCATTCTACTCTATCGTCAGGTTTCCGGCATGACACTCAATAATCAGATGAAGCAATCACAATAGTTTATGAAGCTCTGAAAAAGGAATGACAAACTGCATCCAAGCAAGCTGGAGGAATCTTAGTCTACTCCCTTCGACGAATCCAGAAGGGATGAAGAATTCAAACACCTGGTAACAGTGAGAGTGCGTTTCCTTCGATCCTTCAAGGGGCTGGAGGAGAGGTGATGCAAATCCCAATTCAAATGAGAGAGACTAAGAAACAAGAGCTGTTGCTAAACCATATAGAGGAGTTAGAATAAAAGCTTACGACAAAATTTTGCCTTGCTAGAAAGGCCACAGAAGAAGAGACTTAAGTAAGTCTAATCAAAGAGAGAGAATCCCATGTCTTCATCACAATTTACCTGGGCGACACCAGAGCTAGGAGTGGTAATGGAGAAGCTAGAGGAGACAGCGCCGGATCCAGCGGAGGTCAAGACCAAGTTAGAGAGCTTCCTTTGGAGCTCCCAGGTGGAAGCAGAGCTGGCCTAAAGGTCGGTTTCGCCACCGTGCTGCTTAGCACTCCATGTTTCACCTGATTTCTTGACGATGAAAGTGAAAACGGCCATAGTTACAGGTAAATTACCAAAGCTCGCACACGTGATGTATGGTGATTGAGATGCTAACAACCTGAATATGCACAATTTGAAAAGGAACTGACCATTGCAGAGACCTAAGATTTAAGGGAGAAGATGAAATCTAGGGTTCCAACCTCCAAAACTCGAACTCCGGAAAGACGACAGTAACTGGCACAAGCCGATCCTGTGCGGCATGGCTGGGTATAATCTGCATTTTAATTTAAGTCACGGATATTGCCTAGGTAATAGCTGGGTGTTGTTACGAGAACATCACAACAAATCTGTTGGGTTCCCGATGTGGTCACTACTTGATAAGAGAATAAGGATTGTGCTGCAAGCTCAATTTGATAGCAATTTGTTAGAATTTTAGGTTTTGTGATCGTTGGGCTGGAGACATTAGTCGGTGGGGGGGGGGGGAAGATGGGCTGTCAGTTAAAGAGAAGGTCATTTCGGCAACTGTAGGAAGCCCCGTTGGATTGTGGTGGCTTGAAAGGTCGACGGGCTGTTTTGAAAGGCTTCGCGATGATGCGCGGTGTTTGGTTGGGCAGCGCTACTAGGCAGAGTCTGTTCCCTTCCTTACCTTTATACCAATTTCCGGCTCCTCCCTGTCGGGTGCAATGCTGCGCTGCTGTGGACGCTAAGAAACTGGTGGACCTGGAGTACGCAGAGCTTGAGCTAAATGATATCCAAGTTTGTTTTCTTAGTTTCCTAATATACTCTTGTCTTATGGGATCTAATTCTTTTCTGTTTGGTTCTGGAGATGTACTAATATCAGCTCGGGATCTATTGAAAATGTCAAGTGGTTTCATTTTGAGTTGCTTACTTGTCGACAGAAGCCTCCACTTAAACTTCATTGACAAAGTGGTGGCCCAGTTGATGAGATTTATGGGAGAAGTAGGGATAAGGGGTTGTGCTCTCATGAGTCTATGCGGCGGCATTCGCACCGAACAGTGTGCAATTTGAATTGGGTCGCTTCAAGTGTGTGTAAGGTTGCTCTGTCGAATTGGAGGATTTAACGTATTCTTTTGTGGTTTTTGGAAGAGCAGGTTGGAGGGGTGAGGGTACGACAGCATGCGAATCCTTTCAGGGCGACTTTTACGGTCTGCACCGCATCCTCTTGATTAACTATGTTATGCTTACTTACTTCTAGGATAATTAACTTGCAGATTTTTCAGTGAACTAGAGATATGATTCTCTGCATAGTGGTTACATTTTTGATACAGCTACTTGTATTTGTCGCTATATCTGCAGTGATTGGTTATTTATTATTTGAAGAAGGTCGGCATATGTCTTTTGTTTATCATTGCCTGTTGGCTTTCACATACAGACTCCTATAGTGCCTCCAACTTGGGAAACCGAATTTGCCGACCCAACTTTACCTCTTCATGTGGACATCGGCTGTGGTATGTGGTATCTAAAGCTTGCTATAAATTTATCGCATTAGAATTCTTAGCACATTCAAGAAACTGAAAATTCTTGGCATAAACTGTGATTGTCCGATTTTTTTGAAATAATTTTGTTGTTGAGGACCTCTTTAGAACAGTAATCAATTATGCATGGTGTTTGTCTTTCCAATAAGGTCGGTTGAGGGGGTTATTTCACCACATATTCCGGTTGTGGAAACTGAAGGTTGCTCTTCTTAATTCCCGAATGATAGATGAGTTTCCATCTTAATAATTTTTGACATACTTGCAGCAAGCGGTAGACTTTTGATGCTCTTGGCAAAGAGGAATGTGGGATCCTGCAACTACCTGGGCATAGACATACGTGAGAAGGTGTAGATCATCTTGAAGTTCGTATGAACTTATTCACAAAGTCGACATACTGCTGACTGCTCTTGATTGTGTTAACTATGTTATCACTAGAAGTGCACGAAGCTAGAGATTATTGTTGAAGATTGTTGCTGTTACACTACTGGATGTCACTATGCTTGCCGAATCGTCAATCATTTATCAGTGTACGATGCAATAATTCACAAGAGCCACTTTCACATTCTAATATTACTGAAGAAATAGACCGAATAGTAGCTTGGATGTCATGGTTTAATCCTCTCGGTACTACCTTTTGCAGTTATTGCAGCGGTCAACAAAATGGGCTCAGGAGCTTGGTCTTACAAACATGTAAGTAAGCCCTTCTAGTCTAATTTTGCTCGTTTTGGATTTTATTCGTTGACACTAAAATGAGGTTAGATTATCAAATGACAAGCATCCCTCGAATTTGAGATCCTGTCTTGACTAGATAGAGTGTTGCAAAGTATAACAAGCGAGTTTATGCGTCATTTCCACGCCACGACCAAATTTGGTTTATTTCTGTCAATTTTTTTTTGTGCTGACTACCGTTGCTGTCCTGGTTGTAGACATTACATGGTCGCAAATGCAACGTTATCCCTGGATGCAATATTGATGAAATACCCTGGTCCACTTAGGCTTATTTCAATACTGGTAAGGTATTTCATTTTGCTTATACTTGAGCTGTTAGGAACTTGTAGTCATACTGCTTGACAGTCAATCGGTACACTTAGCAAGATATCTGTTCTGTGTGGCAGTCGTATAAGGCGGCATGCAGAAGTTTCTTGATTGAATAGACGTTAAAATGATCAAAAGGTGACGAGGCCACCAACCTGATTACTTTACTTATGGATCCTAATTTCCTGATGTACAGTGTCCAGATCCTCATTTTAAGCAAAAGCATCGAAAGAGACGGATAGTGCAGAAGACTTTGCTTGAAGCTCTTGAGAAACATCTCCCACCTGATGGTCAGGTGGGACATACTCGTGCTTACTAATTTTTTTCTTTAGAACTATTTTTTTATGAATGAACATGTATCCTATTTTTAGAACCTGCTATCCCACTTCCATAACCTAGAATTGATTGAGCAGGTATTTGTTCAATCTGACATTGAAGAAGTGGCCGAGGATATGAGAGACCAATTTGATGAGAACGTGAAGTTCACTCGTGTGCACCCATGTGGGTCGGATATGTGCGATTCTGAGGGCTGGTTATTAGAAAGCCCTCTTGGGATTGCAACTGAGAGGGAAATCCATGCTGTTGCAAATGGAGGAAGAATTTTCAGACAGCTGTTTCAACACGTATGAGGAAGATCCAAATTGTGCTTGTGAGGTCTTGTTCTTCAATTGCTTTGATGTCAAGTATTCACGTGACTTAATGAAATTTCCATATGATTTAGATATGGCACTCAACACCGTGACTTGAGTTTGAGTAAAAATAATTTAGTATTTTTGTTACAAGTGCAAGTGAGAATTGTTTTTTTAATTCCCTTTTTGAATGGTACTTAGTCAGTAACCTAAAAAAATCTTATCTGTTTGTAAGTTGGAAGACTTTCCAATCTACATACCTGATTGACAAGCATTGTTGACCTTCAAGTTTTTGTAGATAATGTGAAATGTTGAATGAACACACTAACGTTGAAGTTTTCACTGGTTGGTTTTGAAGATTCAGAAGGATCATGTTTTACACTAATTTGGTTGAAATTTATATTCTTTTTATTTTCTTTTCTTTGTAGTTTGTGTGTGATAGGTTTGTACTTTTCTGGTTTGACCTATTTACCAAGTCTACTTCAAAAAATGAATATTTGTAAATTAATTTTTTTAAATACTTTTATTTGAAATGACAATGTTATTTGTGTAAGTGAGCAACATTTGGAACCATTGTAAATATTTGGATGTACTTGTTCTTTACTTCTGGAATTTGATTTGAAGATACAATTTTTAATAATTCATTTGTAGAATTTTAAATTTAAATTCACTATAAAACATCCTTTTATTTCTTACAAGATTTTATTAAACAAATTTTTATTTAGTTCATTTTTTGAGAAATAGAAATAACTTTCTATATCATAAAAATTCATGTTTTTGCAGTTGAAAATTAAAAGTCCACACTATTCTGTTGAAGAATTTGTAAATTCTTTACATAATAGTTTAGACATAAAGATTTAATATAATAGGTTTAATTTTTTTGATAAATTCTGTAATATGGTTATTGTTTGCTTAAATTTATATGTTTTTTTACCAATTTTTAAAAAGTAATATCAAGTTATATATGTCATATAATTATTAATTATTAATTATAATTTTTATATTAATAAATATATATATATTTAATAATATCATTGATTTTATGTGTATTAGATGTCTCTTAAAAGCTTGTCAAAGTTTCAAAACAAGAAGAAAAATAGGAAGAAAAAAAAAAAAATCTCAAATGTTCAAATATCTCTCTTTGGCAATTTTAGTACCCTTTAGAGTTGTTCATTGTTTGTTTGGGGGTAGATGAGTGGTACAAGTATTAAAGATATGAATTACTATAAAATTCTAAAAATGACAATATACTCTTATATCACCAAAAGAGAGAAAGTAGACAACTATTTTTTAATCCTATAACTATTTTTTATAGGATTAAAACTAAAATACCTATCACCAAATGCAAAAGGACTAGGAAGCGACTTTTCATGTCCCCACTTTTGATGGAAATTCAAGCACAGAACAACAAAAATCACGAATCATGGCAGACATATTGCTGCATCAAACTACGTCTGGCAATTTGCTCACTGTACGCCTCAGTTTCCACCTATAACAGCCTGGTGAGATGGACCCTTGCCAACATCTTTGGATGGAGCAATAAAATCCTAATCTGAGACACTTCGCCCAGTAGTCAGTGACTACTAGGTAAGCACAAATGGTCGAGCATGTAATTAGTTTACCTCTGTTTGCTGAGGATTCTTCAATGCTCTGCAAAGTCAATGCCATACTCTACATTCAGTACTTGCATTGGTTCATGTCAATCAAAGTTAAAAAAAGCCCATTAAAATAACTGGAGTAAGCATTGAACTACTCAAAAATGACAAGAAACCAGAAAAGGGGGACTAGCTGTGGAAGGTGCAACTTTTCATCATGAACGCGGGTATGAACATCACTCACTGGTTTGAGCAGACGATCAGCGTTGAGGTACCATCCCACCATGAACTTCAGTCACTGCTTCACTCACTAGGTACACACCCTCTCCAGTTTAGTTGATCTGTAAACTATGTGAGTGTATCTGTCGAGTCCTACACGCTAATGTATAGAGGAGAGCGAGAGAGCGAGAGAAAGAGAGACTGTACCCAAGGAGGCGATGGGTAGGATAGATTTGCACCCAATTCAAAGCCATTCCTCGAACCGACGTCAACATGGACAAAGATCTGCGATGGCTAGATAAGGCTTTCGTGGTGGGCCTCCGCAGGGAAACACATGTAAAGCATCCGGCGAAGTTATATCCTCCAACACGATAAGTGATGAAGGTATCCGCAGCACAAAAATCTCCTTGCTTGACATACGTTGCTGAAGCAACAGTATTAGCACGTTTGTAAAGTGAATCAACGGTGTAATTAGGCACTTGAAGATAAAGACTGTTGTGAATATGTGAACGAGTGTGTCATTAGAGTTGCCATAAGACGAGAACATTAACCAGATCCTGTATCGGCACACGTAGCACGATAAACATGCGGTGGGCTACCTGTAGAAGGTCATGTTCGAGTACGACGTGATGGAGTTCTGCACATTGGAAATGACCAAACCCCCAACGGAGATGGTATCAAGGATTAGGGCTAGGACTTAAGTTTCGCGAACATGCAGCTTGATTACTTGCTCCCTACCATTCACCTCCACTGCTCTGATGACCATATGTTTTACTGCCTACCTTGCTTGACACATCATCTTTTCTTAGATCCACTTTTCAATACAAGAATTGTCTAATCCTTACGGTTTCCCAAAGCCTGAACAATTTCCAACTCCGAGCGAATCCATTTCTGTTGGGTTCCTTGGTTTACATACTTTCCTCAAACATGCTGCTCGTGCCTATGCTCTTTCCCAGCAAAATGGGACCAACCGAATCGTAAGGCAAGCTGTGGTGATGTTCAGGATACGAAACTTCATGATGCTGTTGGATGCAAAAATTAGATTCTAAGTCAAACAGAGCACAGGTACGTCTTCACATGCTTCACGAACTAATTCCGTCATACTCTGACCTGAAACCCTAAGTCTTAAAACTCCAAAACACACAATTCCATGCATTCGGACGCCCTCAGCCAGTGAGAGAGATCTAGCGATTCCCATTCTGTCAAAATATTTACCTTCTTAGAACTTGCAGATTTATACTATTTTTATGAAATTTGAATCCACCACCACGTGATGTAACTTGCAGGTTAAGACACCTGGCACCACCACATGTATCAACTCTGTCAGCTGTCTCTTAGTGTCGTAATGGCTCCAATGACATGTTTCTATCCAAACTGGAGCTTTCTATTGAGGAGCAGCAAAACCATTTTCTACCGAGGCCCCCACCTACTCTACTCTACAGCACAAGTAATCGATTCCTGGGAAGCTTTCTTCGAACTCGAGTGGGCTCGCAAACTGTTAAAAATCACAGTCGACGAGAGACGGAATCTACAGGAAAAGCCTCTCATCCATCGACACCTCACGGCCTGACCTCCATCTCCAAAAGTTGGAAAGATCACACCACCAGGAACGCCTCCGATAGCCGGCCCTGGATGGTATTTTCTCACAGGCAATCGGTGCAAGCACATTACTTGTAACCCAAGAATGCCCAAAGGACTTAGGCTGACCATGTCTGGCAAGAGTCTCTCCGTGTCCTCTTGCATCCGAGCGGTGGGATCTTAAATGACGGATACCTGGCGTGGGTTATAACGCTTGGGATAGGCCTCGAGTCTGGAGGGCAGCCGACCTGACGGTAATCATTCAAGGCAAGGGAAAGATAGGGAGATGTGGTGGTTGAGATGAAACTGAGTGGACTGTGCGTGAGGCCAGTTTACGCCATCTTTGCAATTGATATCTGCGTGAATTCTTAATCGATCTTTTTGAATTTCAGCTCTCGAAATTGCAGCGTCGTGGTGGTTCTTTGGATTGGTGAGCAGAGTAGCGACTTGGCACTAGGGTTCGGAATCCTCCAACTTTTCTTGCTGTGGCGTTGCGTGAACTGTTGCAGCCCCTGCTCCAGGTTGGTTGCAGTCACTGGGTGCTTGCCATCGTGCTTCTCATCCAGCTACTTAAGGATGGCAAAAGGGTGTGAATGATTTGTCGATTTTCGTGGATCACATGCGAATTCATCTGTATTCTTTTAAATTTCTTGCACTGATCACTGCTCTTTTTCTCGCTGCACTGCGCTTAGATGTAGTCAGGTGAATCTGTTTCGCACCCAAAGCCAGAATTGTGCATCGCTGTTAACTTTCAGCTGGCAATGTTCACCAGCCAGCTAGGTTGCATTGTTCAAATGACGAAGTTTTCTGGTGGTCCATTCGGAAGAAGCTGCTTGTAGAGAGTTAATGTGGACCACTTCACCTGCTCTCCGTACCCGACGTCCACCCGCTTTGGTGGTGCAGCCAAATACCTTTAATGGCAGCTACGTGAACGTGATCATCATTTAACCCATTAAACCGCGAAACTGAGTATGTGAAGTATTTCGGCGGTGTTACGGTTGTAGGCGTTGCGTAAGTGACATTAGGACTTAGTTTGAGAGCGTGAACTACTATTGATGGCGTCAACAAGCCATTGGTTGGTTCTGGTAGCCTCAATATGGCTGCAGGCGTGCTCTGGTACTGGGTATTTATTTGGAAGCATTTCACCGGTGATTAAAACCACTTTAGACTTCAATCAGAAGCAACTTAACCGACTGGGGGTTGCTAAGGACATCGGGGATAGTGGTGGCCTTCTGGCAGGTTTCTTGTGCGATTGGCTGCCTCCATGGGGCCTCATTTTGGTGGGTACGCTACAGAATTTAATCGGCTATGGTTGGCTTTGGCTGATTGTAATCGGTCGAGTCCCACAACCTCCCTTCATCGTGGTATGTTGCCTCGTCTTCGGACTTTTTAGTCGCCAATGTGTTCTATCTGATCGCAAATCCCGTGTATGCTCTTTGCTTAAACATTCTTGTCTAGGACAGCAAACCATTTGCCAATTTGACGTAGCAGACTACCAGTCTAATGAATCTTTTTAAGGCAGTCCCTGATGTGGCTATTGGTGATGATGACATGCATCCTGCGCGTCGGTTTACAGGTCTGCTTACTGATATGTGTTGGAACGAATGGAGAGACCTTCTTCAACACAGCAGCTCTGGTGTCATCTGTTCGCACCTTCTCGACTTACAGGGGTCCCGTTGTGGGAATTTTGAAAGGATTTGCTGGTCTGGGTGGCGCTATTTTCACATGCGTATACACAGCTCTGTATGCTCCCGACCAAGCGTCTTTCATTTTATTATTAGTTATAGGTCCGACGCTAGTTGCAATCTTGTCCATGCTTGTGATCCGCCCAATTCCCTACGTAGCAGAGGATAGTGCTATTCAAGACAAGAAGTTCAAATTCCTATACGGCATCTGTATGATACTGGCCATATATCTGCTGTCTATCATCATCGTACAGGATAGCTCTGTAAAAAGTACAAATTTGGATCGTGTTTTTGCAATCGGATTGTTCACGATCCTTGCGTTGCCGTTAGTCCTCGTTATCCCTACTACCCTCGGCAAAGACTTATCTGATCCCGACTCGAATTTCCAAGACCAAGTCAGCCAACTGAGAGCTCCTCTTCTTGAGGATGTGGAGATTGAAGCTGCAGCTGGTAGTAAAAATGATGCCACAACTGGAAGCAGTGGCAGTGGGAAGATTCCAGGACAAAGTGTAGATGCCCAGCCTTCTCATTTCAAAGACCAAGATTCCCTCCTCTTTAGTGAACTGGAAGACGAAAAGGAAACATGGCCGGAGACTGTCAGGCGTGATCGGCTGCGCCGTGCTAGCTCCCGTTTGTATCGTGCTGTAGCTGAAGGGGCCGTCAAGCTGAAGCGGAAACGGAAGGGACCTCATAGAGGCGAAGACTTCACATTGCGGCAGGCATTGGTGAAGGCAGATTTCTGGTTGCTATTCTTCGGGCTTTGGTGTGGTGCTGGGTCAGGTTTGATGGTGATTGATAATTTGGGGCAAATCTCCCAGTCTCTGGGGTACAAAGACCCTCATATCTTTGTTGCCCTGATTAGCATTTGGAACTTCCTCGGTCGCCTTGGTGCTGGTTACGTCTCTGAAGTGATTGCCAGGTATGTGTCTCGATTGCATCCAATTTCTAAGTATCATCGTTGTATCACAGTTGATTACTTGTCGATTGCTTGTACACGAGTTACACTCAGAGAAGAGGTTCAGAAATGAAGTATGTCTAACAACAGGTGAGTTTTTTTGGGTTGATATTTCAGAGAGCATGCGTTGCCGAGACCAATTCTGCTGGCTGCAGCGCAAGCAGTGATGGCTATAGGTCACGCCTCACTGGCTGTGGGCATCCCAGGAGCGTTGTATGCCGGTTCATTGCTAGTGGGGATGGGTTATGGCGCTCACTGGGCCGTTGCCCCTGCCACTGCTTCAGAGCTCTTTGGGTTGAAGAGTTTCGGCCTGCTGTACAATTTTCTCTCCATGGCTATGCCAGCAGGTTCTCTTGTGTTTTCAGGGCTTATTGCTGGGACTCTTTACGATCGGGAGGCCCAGAAGCAGGAAGGTGGTATTGCTCCACCAGAGGTGGATGCTTTAAGATGCGAAGGAGCTGTGTGTTTTCGGATGTCTCTCCTTATAATGACTGGAGTGTGCTTGGTTGGTGTAATTCTCAACGTCATCCTTATCTCGCGTACACAGCGCGTGTACACAACATTGTATGGAAAGCAGCGTGATGAGGCAGCAGATAATAAACCTCGGACCAAAATTACCACTATTGAGGAATAGATTGTACGATTATAGGTTATTAGTAATTGTTGCTTAGTTCTAGTAAACAACGCTCCCGTCTATTTCTATTGCAGGTGACAGTTTCACTTGCATTTAGCAATCTCCTAGTTAGAATTGTTGTGTCGGAAATCTGACAATTATTTTCGTAATCAGATGCTACATTATAGCATTACCTTCGAGTAGAGTCGACTTGACATGTTTACATAGTTGCAAACCGAGATAATTTATGTGGTTTACATATTCCAGTAATTTCTTTTGCTGCAAGTCTCTTATAATTGTGCTGACGTTCTGTCAACTAATTTCTTGTAGAACAAAGCTTTTCAGAAGGTACACACCTGACGTGAGTGTTATAAATTTGATACTAATCTATAAAGACGAATACAGATGACAGCCAAACATCTAATAGTTTTTGAATGTTCGCAATCAGTGATGTGTAGAAAACCTTGTTGAAGTTAATCCATACGTTCAAGTGCCAGCATGGGTTAATTGCTTAACCAAAAAGTGATTTGGCTAGTTTCCCAATCCCAGATCGTACGTTTCGGTACAACACTCAAACCTTAGATCAGACGACCATCACAGCCTACGTCGCTTGCAATATTGTTATTTCCTTTCCATTCATAGATTTTTATAAACAATTTAAAACTTGACTGAATTATAATGATCACAAACATGTGCAGTGCAAACTCAGAATCTTCATTTAGTTTCATGAGCAAAAGAATGAGTGATTATTGGAGAATGAACTTTCCTTCTTGACGTGTTTCCAAGTACAAGAACATCGAGCCATGTATACTTTGCAAGAATATCATTCTATTAAAAAGACTTATCACGCGCACAACTAAGTCTTTCATAAGCAATGTGTTCTAACCTTTGTAAGTAGAGTAAGAAATTCTACATCCGATAGAGGGACTTCATCCACCATGCCTCAACACGATCCGTGTTATCCGAGTTTGAACCACTTCCTCCATCGCTAACCCCCGAAACCTGTTAAATTTCGTGCACAATGCTTACATTGTAGCCCTCGATCAATGCATGCTGCATGAGCTCCTTCCCAAGCTCCTCGCTCGTCTCTTTTGTTCGACACAGAACCTAAAATATGATCCAACACGTCAGCTTGCAACTCGAACAAGACAGACACTAACCACAAATATCAAATGTAACTACTAACATGTGCAGATTGTGACTTAGACAAGATCCCCGAGAACTATATAGCCACGAGCACAAGTCCTTTTCTCCTCCCAAATCTGCTACAAAACTGACACAACCTCTTCTTCAAGAACCTGCTGCAGGATAAGGGTGGGTCGTCGACCTGCACAAGTCCATGGCCTTTTCCTCTGCTGCTTTTGTCGTCCTTATTTGATTTACTTGACAAAGGCGCTTGCTCGCTACTCCAGCTCCCAAGTGCAGTTGTCTCCTCCACTTTCAGGAACTGCTAGAAACTTCGGGGTGCAGCATCAAGGGTCGCGAGAGCAGAAGAAGAGAGGCTGCTCTGGAAGTGGGTGAGGTGCCAACATTTTGAAGAGTCCGTTGGCTCACCGACGTTGATCCACGCGGGGGGGAGGCGGTAGGAGTCCGATCAGCTTACGCTTCTGAGAACGGCGATCATGCAGCGAGAAAAAGTTCAGAAAACGGCGCTAATTTGCAATCCGCTGGATCGTAGTGCGTCGACTGAAGTGGCAGTTGTGCCATGTTCGCTGGGGCGACGTTTCATCGTTTTTGAGGAAAGTCTGTGGTTGCCTTTTAAAGAATACTCAATCGATAACGATTTGGGTTGAAGATGGGTGTGCAAAACTGCAAGCAATAAACCAATCGCAAGGTTCACAAACAGAATGAAATGATACTGGAAATGAGCATGTGAAGCAATAGTTGAAGTGTGGCACAACCGGTCGAAGAACGTAGTTACAATAAGTCTTGTCAATCAAGGAGTGTTGAGAGTTAGAACCACACAAACAATGTGGTGAGTTGCAACCAGGTGCGAATATGACATGTAATCTACAAAGACTCGTTCCACGTGAAAGCTCCGTGTCGGGGTCTGGCAGGCGAAGAAAAGGTGGAGAGTGAAGGGGGGAGAGTGGTGTGTCAGGGTCTGTGTGTGTGTGTGAGAGAGTGGTCGAGTTGCCCGTCAGAACGCTCTCCGGCCATCACCGCTCCCGGGAATGAGGGGGCGGGACGTTCATCTGGCAGGCTGGGGTCGGACCCCGCGAGGGGGCCACTGGACACCAACCCGCGGCAATCGCGCTCAGGCCGGAGAGCCCTGAAGCATCGTCCGGGGTGAAGGTCTTGTCTATGTTGGAGAACACAGATCAGATGTACGCACTATAGAACAGATCCTGTTCAAGTATAGTCGTGCCAGACCGGCTCCACCCCCACCTCCATATACCGGCCTTCCCCTTCCACCGCAACGGCTATGGTGCAACTCCACCTCCCCTGCCCCGCACTCACTCAATAGTATCCATCCATCACTTGCATTCACTTGAAGTTTTATGTTTCGTTCCCCTTCTAAGAAATCTATCGATACAGAGGTTTTGTGTTTTTATTTTTATTTCTCTTTTGTACATGCTAACACTTTCTTTCCATGCTTAATTTAACTAGGAGTAAGTCATCTTTTACTACTTGCTCATCTATACATCTATACGTATTATTTTATCCAATACTCTAGATCTTATGTGCATGGACACGTTTTGTATTTCTTCCTTGTGTTCTACATGAACAATCATCTAATATATATATATATATATATATTTTTTTGATGTTACATTGCTTGGATTTTTATGGTATTAGAGCAATGTTGGCAAAGACCTCTATTAGCATATGGAAATTTCATAATACAAATAGAATAAAATATTTATATATATATATATACTTTTTAAAATATTCTTTCATAAAGTAATAACATATTATTATGTATTTGGTTCTTGTAATAATACTTGATTTTTTTATTTAAATTATTATAAATAATTTTATTTAACTTATAAAAAAATTGACAAATTTTGACTATAAAATTTTATAGAAGATTCTTTAATTCTACTGCATCTATTATTACAATAGATAGGTCCACATATTTAACCTCAATTAATGAGGTTGTTGTCATTGCATGCTTTTTAAAAGCCTTTATGATAAAAAAAATCCTTTAAACATAAAAACCAAATATATTATCAATCTATTGTAAATAAGTAAGATCAATCTTTTTTGAATTTTCTTTTCTTTTATCTTCTATAATTTTTTCTTCTTTTTGACTTCCAATAGATTTTAATAAAGCTATTCAATTCTATATTGGAGATATTCTTATAGAAAATGAAATAACTATAGGTACTCCAAACTGAACAAACAAGGTGTTTGGCAACTCAAAGGTACTTAGAATGACTATTGCAAACTTAAAAGAAAGTAGAGAGTCTTAAACTAAGTCTAAACCATAAGAGGACAGTTGATTAGACAATAAATGGCTTCAGTCTAACCTCTATATATACTAGTATAAAAATAATCTAATTGAAACTTGTTAAGTATCAAAGACATGAATCTAAAAAAATGAAATCTTCAATATTTTCTTTAAGTCACTCAAAAAGACTAGAAAATCATTCAAAGATGGTAATATATTGAACTAAATTGACTATTGCTAAAGACAAAAAGCTTAAAAAGTCTTGAAACAATACTAAGGACTAATAACGTATTGGCAAGAGTGAAGAAGGCTTCACTCTTGCCTTCATATATACTATCTAACTAAGAGCTATGTAGTGATGTTCTATAGGACCTCCAAATCACGTTGACTTTATTAAATACATATTTAAACTTGCAAGACAATTTTTTTATATATGCACCATATTTTTAACTTGTTTCATAAGCTACTAATATGTGTGACACACGGTTAATTTGTTAACTAAATTTCTAACCTATTGGGATGGATATATATTTAGTATAATTATTATCTAGATAATATGAATAGGTAGAAGTAGGTAAAAGTAGATTAATTTTATAATACTTTCTAGAATAGCTTCCTAAAAGCTTCTTAGATTTTGTTTTGACTTTACATATATTTATAGTTGATTAATAGGTCAAAAACTTAATTAACAAGCTAACCACGTACCATATGTATTGGTAGCTTGTGGAATAAGCTAATGATGTGGTGCCTATATAGGAAAACTTGCCTTATAAGTCAAGATACGTTTCATACAAAGTCAACATATTTTTGGAGGTCCTATAGAATGTCGCCACATAGATCCTAAATAGATAGTATATATAGAGGCAAGAATGAAGTCTTCTTCACTCTTGTCAATCTTTTTCTAACTTCTAGTCTAGATTCAAGATTTTCTAGTTTTTTTGTCTTTTCAAAATAGCCATTCAAGTTTCTTTTTAATATACATACTTCTTTATTTCTATTTTGTTAGTTTTCTTTTGACATGGATTTTATAGATTTTTGAATCTTCTTTCAATTCATGTCATTGACAGATTGATAAGAGTGTACTTATAATGTTAGAGCTTTGTCTTTTTTTAATTTAGAGTGAATTATCTTTTTTTTCTTGATAAGACATAAGCATATTAGAAGTTGCGGATTACCCTCTTTTAAGTTGATATTATTCTTAGTATTTTCTTTGTTCTCAAGTTCTTTCTTTTTCTTATCTTGAGTAATATTAGAGGTTTTTTTTAAAAATATTATCATGGTAGAGCTTCTTGAAATGAAAAGTGCAATGGTACAAATACAAGAACAATTGAGAGAGTTGATGCTTGCAATGCATTAACTTATTTTATCACGACTAAGAGCAACAAAAGTAGCAGGAATAAAGATACAGATATGATTGGTATTGCTTCAACATCTACATCAAATCACATCCCTTCTCCTATAGTAGAACACCCTTCTAGTGTTAAAGAATCTAGAGTTGCCTTATTTGAGAAGTTTGATGGTACAAGATCTAAATTTCAAGGATTTATCAATCAAGTATAACTTGTGATTGAACTTCAATCCCAAAGCTATTCAATGTTAGAATCACAAGCTAGATTTATTGGTACACTTTTTTTAGATTTGGCATTATCATGATTTTTATCTTTTTTTGAATGACAAGATTCAATATTAGATAATCTAGAGGTTTTTTTGGTAGAATTTCAATCCATACATAAAAAGTATGATGCAATTTGTATTGCAACCAATAAGATTTGTATCTTGCAACAAGATAATTGATTAGTGATATCATATGCTTCACAATTTTGATAACTAGCGACTAATGTCAAGTAAGATGATGTTGCTTTTATCAACCAATTTCTCTATAAATTACAATATAAGGTAAAAAAATTGATGTTCAACTTACTTGATCTTTAGACATTAAGTCAAGTAATTGTCTTTGCTATAAAGTGTGATAATTGGCTTTTTGAGTTTCAATTTGAGAATTACGCAAGAGAACCTTCACGTTATTATATTTTAATGACAACACCAATAACCTCAATCTTAACATTTGGAGGTGGAAGACATACAAATCAATGTAGTACATTTTAAACTTCTTATAAAATAAGAAAAGACTCATCATTGTCAAGAAGGACTATATTTATATTGTAGAGAAGCTAAATTCAGTGCTAACATTGTCTAAAAAAATGACTCAACTACAAAATAAAGAATACGACTATCAAAGATGAAAAAATGTCAATAAAAATATTTGTAGAGCTGCAATAGGAATTGTGCAGCTAAAATCTTATACAAATAAAGGTCCTATTCTTGCCTCAAAATCTTCTCTTTATTTTACAATTGATGTACATTTAGGACCTAATGATTGCAAAGCCTCTGCCTTGGTAGATTCAAGAGCCTCAACTTGTTTCTTATATGAAGAGTTTTTTAAAAGCCATAAAATATTATTAGTACAAAAAACTAAACTAGTACATGTAGAAGTCATAGATGGCCATCTATTATCTTCTAGAGATATTATTCATGAAATACTTTCTATAGATGTAGTAATAAATGTTCATAATAGTTGCATAATTTTTAACATAATTAGGTCTCCATTTAATTCAATCATTTTAGATTTAACATGGCTAGAAATATATAATCCTCTAATAGATTGATTTTCTTATAAACTTAACTTTCTTTAGAGCATTATTAAGAGTTTTATAGAAAGCCATGAGTCTAATATAGCCAAATCCGTATTTGAAGGCACAAAAGCTTTCTTGCATGTTACAAAAGAAGGATCGTCTTTTGTTATTTATGTCACATCCATTTTTAATGATGGAAAGATTTCAAGTGGCATTCCAAGTCAATATCAAGATTTTTAAGATATTTTTGAAAAGAAGAATGTAAATATTTTTTTAGAGCATCGTCCATATGATTGCTCAATTGACCTTAAAGAGGGAAGTCAACCACCATTTGGTCCAATCTACACTTTATTACAAAATGAATTGGTTGAATTTAAGAAATACAATGACAAGAACTTGACCAAGAATTTTATATGCCATTCAAAATCTCTTGCAAGAGCTCCTATCTTATTTATGAAGAAAAAAAATAGATCATTGTGGATGTACATAGATTATCAAAGACTCAATAAGATTACCATCAAGAATAGGTATCCTTTATCTTTGATATCTTGACTTCTTGATCAATTAAATTAAGCTAAAATCTATATAAAAATAGATCTATGAAGAGCATATAATTTGGTCCACATTAAAAAAAGAAATGAATTAAAGACTACATTTCAAATAAGGTATGTGCACTTTGAATATAATGTCATGCCTTTTAGATTCACAAATGCATCAACTACTTTTCAACATCCTATGAATGATATTTTTTGTGAGTTTCTAAATGATTTTTTGTTTGTTACTTAGAAAATATTTTAATCTATTCTAAGAATACAAAAAAGTATGAAGTTTATGTTCATCATGTGTTACAAAAACTTAGAGAAGCAAGATTGTATACTAAGTTGGAAAAGTGTGTATTCCATACTATTCAAATTGACTTCTTAGAATATATCATTTCCAACAAGGACTTATGATGGATTTGAAGAAGGTCTAAACCATTATAGATTGGAAGATTTTAAGAATAAGAAGAGATGTGCAATATTTTTTAGGCTTTGTCAATTACTATCAGATCTTTATCAAGAATTTTTTTCAAATTGTAGCTCCTCTTATACATCTTACATGCAAAAACAAACTTCATTGGAAAAAAGAAGCTGAAGCATCTTTTGAAGCCTTGAAGTTGGCATTTAGTTTTACACAAATCTTATATTGCATTGACTTTTTTAAGGCATTATTTATAAAAATAAAAATGCATTAGATTTTGCTATGGATGTTGTTTTGTCACAAATAGAAAAAGATGACAAGCTCCATCTAGTAGCTTTTCATTCCAAGAAATTTTTAGTAACTAAGATTAACTGTGAGA